TTATAATAATCAGTTTTCAGGGATTATACTATAATAAAAAATAAATTTGTTACAGATGTTACCGATGTACATATGTATGTAGGAAGTTTTGAGCGCATTTTTATCTGTCTTTCAGTTGTGGTCAAATCTGTATATGCGAAAAGAAATCAGCATAAAAAGAAAAAAAAATAGTTCTTAGATTTTAGGTCCTGTTTCTCTCGGTTGATATAAAAAAGTGAACTCGAAATTAAAACGACATTTAAAAATGTGGGTTTTAAGTTTTTTTTTTTGAATTAATAAAATCAAGCATTTGAAGAACCTGGTTACAGTGAAGTTTCTGTTTTGGAACTTATGACACGTCACTGCATGGCACAATAATAAAAATAATTTACAAGGTAGCCCCATGATTTGCAATTGCTATAAAATATTTGCTGATTTAAAATTTACCAGCTGATTTGAAAGCAAACAAGTAAAAAAGCTGTAAGTTCCGCCGGGCCGAACTTTGAATACCCACCACCATTTGGTACAAATTTAACAATTTCAAATAAATAAAATCCGTTAAAAATTCTGTTAAAATCTTGAAAATACCTGCATAGGCAACTTTTGTCACAAGCTATTACAATATTCAAATCCGAAACTTAAAAAAAATCCGTTTATAATGTAGCTAAAATCGTCAAAATACCGAATATAGGGAGGTACCATGGTGGTTATAAAACGTGGATCTGCACAGACAATTTTCTGTCATAGGCTATAATATCCATTACGAACTTCAAATACCAAAATTGAAACAATGCCGGTAAATAATGTCGCTAAAATCATCAAAATACCGAATATCGGGGGGTACCGCTATATGGGGGCTATACGAAGGCGTGGACCTGCACAGACAATTTTCTGTCATAGGCTGTAGTATCTATTACGAACTTTAAATATTAATTTTGAAACAATTCCTGTAAAAACTGTCACTAGAATCAGCAAAATACCGCATGTCTGGAGGTACCGTTATATGGGGGCTATACGAAGACGTGGACATACATGGAACATTTTCTGTCTTAAGCCGTAGCATCTATTACGAACTTTAAATATTAATTTTGAAATAATTCCGGTAAAAACTGTCGCTAGAATCAGCAAAATACCGCATATCTGGAGGTACCATTATATGGGGGCTATACGAAGACGTGGACCTACATGGCCCATGTTCAATACCAAAAGTCCTGCAGACATAGTACACATTTGAGTAACATTTTATCAAACTACTTCATTTCGTTCGGAAGCTAGAGTGATTTCCACAGACGGATAGACGGAAAGACGTACAGACGGACGGACATTGATAAATCGACAATTTTTGCGGTAAGGGGATGGCGGTCGCATTTGTCTGTCTGTTTGGGTGGCATGTGCCTACGATAACTCTCAAAGGTAGTATCCGAAATTGGTATGGTTCAAACTTGGTACGTCGTAAGCTTAGATCGAGTTCGAAGATGGGCAACATCGGTCCACTCCTTTTGTTACCTCCCCCACAAAAGGTCAACATTTTTAAAGGAAACAAGTCAAAAAGTGTCAGCCGGTTTTGCCGACAGATGTATAACTGTTGACCCTCTATGGGCTAGGTTCCGAAGGAACCAAATATTGTCGTATCGGACCTAAATAAATATGATATAAATATTGCGACGTGCCAGGTTTGGACTATATTGATCATTGTACCTGAGATACCAGATATAGTGGTCCGAAAAATTTTATTTTCACAGTTCATCTAATATACATAAAAATATTGGTGTAGGTAAAATTACAAGAGAATCGAACATTTACATCCAATTTTATGCGAAATTACAAATTCCATATTCATCTCAGGTTTCTGGTTGAGAGAAATATTTAGATACAGCAAGTTGTAAAAAATCGCTGACTTGTTTCGCAGGTTATGACAGATAAAAATATTACAATTTTGTTTTTCAAAAATTTGAATCCCATGTGGGAAAGGTACCAGAAAAATTGTCCGACCTCTACCATTTTTATCACAGATCTTGTGTTGATGGAAATATTGGGATGTACCAAGTCTGTTAATTTCGCATTATATGAGTTTCATGGATATTCAAAATGTTGACCCCTTGTGGGGGATTTATCAGAAGGAATGGTCCGAACTCTACCATCCTTATAACAGATCTTGTGTTGATAGAAATATTAAGATGTGCCAAGTCTGAATGGAATGGGAGGTTAATTTCGCGTTATATGAGCTTCATGGGAAATGGAAAATGTTAACACTTTTTGGGGGGATGACCGATATATTCCATCTTCGCACCAGACCTTGGATTTTTGCATCAAATTTTATAACAGTTATAATTGTTCAAAATTTTGACACTTTGTGGGGGAGGTACTCGATGGACCTATATTGTCCAAACCAAACCTGATCTAGCACTGACAAAAACATCCAATGATCCTTTCTTTTTTTACGAGGTAAATTATTATACCCTCAGCCAACACAAACGGTCAAAATTTGAATAATTATAACTTTTATAAAATATGAAGTAAAAGTCCGACTGTATTCAAATTTCGCATATCCCAATATTTCTACCAACACAAGATATGGTGGCCCACAGAGGTTCAAAATTTGAATAATTATAACTCTTATAAAATGTGAAGTAAGAGTCCGATTGTCCTCCAATGTTGCACATGCCATTTTTTCTGCTAACACAATATCTGGTATGGAAACGGAAAATAGCGGGCCACGCCATCAAGATCTGTTGTGAAAACGGAGTATATAAGACCACTTCATCAAGTGCCTCCCCCACAATGCATCAAATTTTTGAATGATTATATCTCTCATAAAATGCAAATTAAGCATCATATTCTCTTCAAATTTCTCATATCCCAATATTTTTATTAACACAAAACCAGGGGGTAAGATGGAATTTGTCGGGCCGCTCCTTCTGCTACTTCCCCCACAACCGGTAGAAATTTGAAATAATTAAATCTCTCATAAAATGTGAAATAAGCATCAGATTTTCTGTAAATTTCACATATCTCAATATTTTTTTCTAATACAAGTTCCGATGTAAAAATGATAGATATCGGCCAACCCCTTCTGGTACCTCTCTTACAAAGGTTCACGGTTTGCAATGCATATATCTCTCATAGATAGATGGACGGACATACATAGCTAGATCCACTCAGCTCAGCGGGATAGGAAGATTCAGATGTAATATCCTCTGTGTAGTACCAATATTTCGAGGTGTTACATAATTTTTGGCCCAATCTAACCTATAATACCTCCCAACACATACTGTTGTAGGGTATAACAAGTAAAAAAGCAGTAAGTTCGGCCGGGCCGAACTTTGAATACCCTCCACCATTTGGAACGAATTAGAAATTTTTCAAAAAAATAAAATCCATTAAATTTTATTTTAAATCTTCATAATATCTAATATAGGAAGGTGCCGATATATGGGGGTATATATGATATTGTGGACCTATTAAGACAAATCTATGTCTGGGTGTAAAGTACTCACAAGGAACTCCTTGTGTGGATTGTCAGATAATTCCATTGGAAAAAGTGGCTAAAATCATCAAACTATGAATATCGGGGGGATATACGATATTACGGACCTATATAGACAATTCCCTTTCAGGGTGTAAAGTATTAACAAGGAACTACTTGTGTGAATTTTCAGACAATTCCATTGAAAAATGTGGCTAACATCTTCAAAATACCGAATATCAGAAGGTACCGTTATATGGGGGCTATACGATATCGTGGACCGATATAGCCCATCTTCGAAGAGAAGAGAGATCTGTGCAAATTTTTAGCTTCCTATCTTAATTCGTTTAGACTGTAGCGTGATTACAACAGACGGACGGACAGGGCTAAATCGTCTTAGAATTTTACGCTGATCAAGAATATATATACTTTGTTGGGTCTAAAATGATTATTTCGATGAGTTACAAACGGAATGACGAACTTAATATACCCTCCATACTATGAATGGTGGAGGGTATAAAAATATTGCCCACTACTATGTTGGGAAAAATATTAATCCAATTGTGTTTTTATACCCTAAACCACATAATGGTAAGGGTATTATGTCTTTGTGCTTTTGTTTGTAACATGGAGAAGGAAGCTAGATAGACCCATAGTTACTTTTGAGGATCTTTATAGAATCACTTTCTGAGTCGATTTATTCATGTCAGCCCGTATGTCCGTCCGTCCGCCTGTCCATGTATTTTTGTGAACAAAATGCAGGTCGCATTTATTATCCGATTTAGATGAAATTTGCCACAAATCCCACTGAAATTGGTGAGAGTCCTTTGGAATTTAGATATAGCTCCCATATATCTTCAACCGATTTCGGATTAATTGTGCTCCAAATAACCAATATCAGTCGAAATGCCCTGAATTATGGCACATCCGACCGAATTCAGTCTAAAGGCAGATACATCAAATTTGGAGAAATCAGTTCAGATATAGCTACCAAATATATGTTTCATCCTATTTGGTACTTAAGTCCCTGACATTCGTAATATACATTCGACAATAATGATATTTGATACCGGGCATCAGATACTGCTCGAAAATACATCTGCTAAATTTTATCGAGATCGGTTCAGATGTTTATATAGCTTCGATATTCATCTTCGCTCGATTTTACGGCTATTGCTCACCTTATTTTTCGCATTCAACCGAATTTTGCCATTTGGTGATACTCGGTCGGGTATATCTATTGCTCCAAGTCATATCATATACTATACAGCAATGTTATTTGGTTCCTAGTTGGTGTGATCTACTTCACATAAATTCGCAATATAAACTTTTTTGTTACGTGAGCTATACTAAATACGCATAGTGGTGCAGGGTATCATATAGTCGGCCCCGCCCGGCTTTTGGCCTTTCCTTTCTGGTGAATTTTTCAACATTGCTCCACAAACACCTGTATATTACAATATAACTTTTCATTTCGTCTATACAATTGTGGAGTTCGCTTAAAAGTATGACAAATTATTGAGTACTTAAACAATTCATAACAAATAAAACATCGTTTTAATTTTAATTATAATATTATTTATTATAGTGTTTTTTTTTTGTATTTTTGTGTATTTAGATAATAACTATAGTGCTATTATTTAAATAATTTCGTTTTTCTTTGTTTTATTGTAATATTTTGAAAATAGCGAACATTAAATATTTTAGCAAAACTTCATTCTTATGCATAAAATTGTGTGGCTTATGTGTTCTGTTTTCATATAATGTTGTTTGATTGTTGTTTAAATATACAATTTGTAACTATTGACAAAGAATTATTTAATAAAATCTTATAAAAATTGCTAATTAAACTATTAACAAAACTTGGTAAAACAATTATGATAATATTTAGAAACTTAAAGCATTAGAAAAAGAAAAAAATATTACAAAAAGAAAAACAATTTGCTTAACAAAAATTGTAAAACTCTTAAATTTATTCATAGAATTTTAATAAAATTTATTTTGTTTATTGGGAGATTAATTCTAATAAATCTTAATTTAAAACAGGAAGCATTTGATATGTTGTTTAGAAACGAATTTAATTATACAAAAAGTTAACGGAAACAAGAAATGTATAAATAAAAATTTGTCGTTTTGTAATAATTTTTCATTTTTTTGTTTTTGTTTTAAATTATTGGCACACTATCTAAGTCTTGGAAGTTGGTTTTTGTTTTTGGGAATATACATACAACATTTCATGGAGTTTGTTTTTTATTTGCTTTTTTTTTAAATGTAAGCTTATATTTTATGCAAAATTACAATATTACTTTGAGTATATCTGGGAATTGGTGTCTTAATATTAAATTTAGTTGTAATTATGTTGGTTTATGTTTTAATAACTAAATCTCGTTTGTTATTGAGAATTGAGTATGAGTATTTGTTTAGGATAATGGTTGTAGTTTGATTTTTGTTTCTTCTCTTTTTTTTTTGTTTTTTAATTTACAAATCTTAACAATTATTTAACAACATTTAATGTTTTAACATACTACCATTCACAAAATGAAAAAAATATACAATTGTTTATATAAAGTATGGAAATAATTAATTGCTGGCTTCCTAAAATTCATTGGAATTTGAGTTTTGTTTTTAATTTTATCAAAATATTTAATTATTTATGCGTATTTGTGGTGATTAATGGCTGTATTGTGTCCTACGATCTTTAGTTGAATTACCAACCAACACAGAAAATTGTATTGCCAACACCATAAATTATGGTGGACGTTTATAGTTGCCAACTACCAATCGTTTTGCGAAATGCTGTATAATCAGTTGGCAAACCAACAACGTTATGATTTCCTATTCATAATCGGACCCAAGCTATTTCTTAATTCTATTTTCTTTTCAAATATTTACATGCCAAAGCGTTTTAAATTCTTTTAATAGCCAATCATACCTAAAGCTGATATAATTGACATTTATGTATTAAATGTACAAGGCTTTTACCCTCAATATACAATAGTTTTAATCGTCAAATTTGGTGGAACATCATGCAACACACTTTCCGTCTTAATTTAAAATCGTTTATATGATCTTTACAAAAAATATTCGGGCTATCTGGCACTGAGAGCTAGTAAAGTTGCGCCCAACGTGTTGTTTCAATAAATATTTAATAATTCTTTCTCACTTTTGATTGTCATGTCGACACATTTCTTAAAATTTGGAATATGTAAAGTTTTGAAGGAATCTAACCACACCACCTTAATAGTTTATGATTAGTGTAAAATGGCGAAATTCGAATCCACTTAAAATTCCCAATTTCAGTTTCCCTTTCGAACATTGAAAAACATTCGTGCCACCTTACCCAATGTACCCACTATGTCCCAGCCATCTTTTCGACCTACAAATGTACTGCCACTGCCATTACCACACATTGCATTTGTTGGCACATAGCTTTGATGCCATAACGATGATGCTGACGTAGCTGGTGAAGATGTTCCACATGAATCGAAGAAAGTTGACGATGTTTCGAAATTTTGATTATTTAGGTCGACCTATGACGGTGTGGAATACCAACCACTTGTTGGGGCGCCCTTATGATACAAATGGAAACTGGAGTGGGGAGTAAAATATTGTTGTTGATCTAAATTGCTATAGGTCAGGCCACTGGTGGCATCGGCAGTAGTGCCTGTGTGGTGCATTGCTGCCGTGGCCGAATAGGGTTGAGGTTTGAGTGGAAGTGGTGATGAGACATCTGTTGCACTGGTCGTAGTCGTGGGATATTGTGACTTTAAAGGATCAACATATTCATAACTACCATTCAGGGTGGTCAATGTTGTTGCGGTTGTGGGAGGTTTTCCAGCATTCAAAGAGTTGTTGGAATCACGTGGTGATACCGAACTGGGTGGTGTCATGGCATTGTGATAATCTATCGAGCTATGATGATAAGTACCATAGGTGGATACCAAATTGGTGAAGGCATCCGTTGAAGTCTTTTGAGGATGTGAATGCAATTGAATGTATTGATTATCATAGGATGACTCGCTGCCAGGTGGTGTGGGTAGGGGACCGGTCTGTTGGTCACCATAAAACACACCGGTGGGAGTTTGCCGCGCTGTGGCCCTGATGACACTTTCGCGATTTGCATAGAGCTGTCGTAGGAGAGCTGTTGCTGGCATTGGCGGTGCTGGCTGCTGATAATGCGGTGTTCCAATCCATTGAATGGTGCTGCTCTTTTCATTTTGTTGCTGTTGTTGTTTGAGCAAAGAATCTGTACTAAAATCGGTAGTATTGGCCACTGGATTCCCAGCCGTGTTACTGGGTGACGGCAGGTGTTTTGACATGGCTTGCTCTAAATCCTTGACAGATGATTCAGCACTTTGTATCTGGGGAGGTTGAGTTGGTGGTGGCTGTGGTTGTTGCTGCTGCTGCTGTTGCTGATGTTGTTGGTTATCATCTATGATCGAGGGCAATCTACTACGTGGAGTATCACGATCTAAAGCAGGAACTTTGGCAATTGGTTCATTAACCACAGGATCAACAGCGCCATTGCTGGAATCAACATCGGTCTGCTGGGGTACAACTTTGCTCTTGCGTTTACGCTTTGTTGTGCTGGGTGCCGGTGTGGGAGCTTGAGCAACTGTGGTGGGTAAATTATTCGCCGAACCATCGTCCATTGCTCCCACAATGGTTGGTGTGCTGGAACTGTCCTTAATCATATTCAAATTGTTGTTTGCTACATTGTTGGCATTTCGGCCTCTGGATCTTTGTTGTTGTTGTTGCTGTTGGGATTCGGGTTCTGTTTTGGGTGAGGCTAATTTAGTCTCTGCTCCCGCCAGGCCGCTGAGACCACCATTATCCATTGTACTCGTCGATGGATCACCACTTGGTGAACCTGAACTCTTGTCAAGACTTGAAATATCTTCGTGTTTGATGTTGTCAATGCTTGGCTCCAGTTGGCAACAATCCAGGATGAGATTTTCATTTTCACGATTACTTATTACATAATTTACACAAATGATATTCTGTTCTTCGGCATTTTTCGAGTTACACACTACGGTGGCACAGCTTTGCATCCAGGTATAGCCTCCACTTTTGTTCATTAGGCGATAATAGCCCGTTAGGACTTGACCTTTTTCAATAACTATACGAAAAGAGGATAAAAAGAAAAAAATTTAAATAACTTCGTGTGACATGATAATGCCAATCTTCAGCTGGCAATTGTTAATTGTTGTTTATTTGAATTTCCAATTTTAAAAAGGGGGGAAATGAAATAAAATACTTACGGTCTGTGTGATGTTTTCGCATACGATTGGCATCCTCAGCATGGCACAGGGCATACATACTTTTGCCCACCATTTCTTCCGGCGAGTAATCCAACAAGTCCGATACTCTATACAGAATCAATAAAGAAAAAAAAAAGAAGAACATAAATCACAATTAGTTCCCGAATGATTGTCGTTGTTATTCGCAAACTTACCTTGGTTCACAGTGGGCAATGCGAAAATCAAAATTAAGTCTTGTCACAAACATATCGCACTCTAAGCGTATTTCATGCACAGATGGTGGTGGCAGCGCTATGGCCAGTGCAACCATACCCAATAGAGGGGGTTGGGATTTCCTTGTGTGTGAGAATGTGTATTGCGGTCGTAGTTTACACAATAGCAGGACAACCTTTAAGTAGAGAAAAAGGGAAATGAAAATTAATTCTTTTATTTCAAAAATAAAATAAAGTAAAGTTAAAAAAGTAATTCAAAAGTAAAGAGAAAAACAATTTAGGAAATCCTGGCTTATTGTAAAGGATAAATATTAAAGGGGCATTTAATCTGTACTGCGGACATCACCATTTTCAAGGGGAATTGGGAAAGTATCAACATTTTCTCTAAAAATCTATGAAAAATTCATAATGTTAGATTTTTGAATTCAAGAGGCTGACAAACGTTGGGCGCCATTCTCTCAGCAAAAAAATGTCTGTATATCATGGCTGGAAATTAAGCTTAGGTATAATTCTTGCTGAGAATATGTAAGCTCTAAACTCTTTGAAGAGGTAGCTTAGAGGGACATTGACTTATGTAAAAATGTATTTTTTTTAGAAAATATCTTCTTTTTATTTCTAGCAATGTTATTTTCATAACCTATTTTATGGTTAATATAACGATATAACAAATGTGTATTACCATTAGACAAAATTTTTAAAAATTCTGTTTAGGTGATAATATTGTTGAAAATGTAGAATCCATTTGTCATTCTCCTTGTTGGGCGCCATAAAGCGATATGCTATAATAACATCAGGAATATCTATGACGGGATCTATAGGTTTTATTTAGTCAGTTTCACGGTGTTTCAAATCTGTTATGATATATACAACGATTAACTAGCGGATTCTTCTTATGCGATTAGTAGGTGAATTGGGCGGAGTATTTATTTATTTCTGTTTAAAAGTGCATTTCACAAACTTTCGTATATTGACGTATATTCTTAACAGATGAATCAGCACTTTGTATCTGAGAAGGTTGAGTTGGTGGAATAGGTAATGGAATAGGCAATTTAAATCCACTGGGTTTACTTAATCTGATAAACTGTAAAGGTACTATCAAATGAATATCGAGGCCAATAAAGCAGAGAGGGGTATCTCAACAAAGTTATATAGCATTTAAAGTGGTACGAGGTTTTTAAATCCTTCTACTTCTCTGAATGTGTTAGTTGAAAAATTTTAAAGTACCTAAATTAACATGTTAGAATGACTCCAGGTTGGGCGCCATATTTTTACTGTGTAGTATAACAAATGTATTTTAAAAGGTTGAATCAGAAAATTTTTGCAAATCATATTGAAGTGATAGTTTATGAGTTCATTATGTCTTTTATTGATATGGGAATTAGTGCATATATATGGGCGCCATAATTGGTGTTAAAATAAATAATTAGTTTATGACTATTGACAAATTAAGGAGAAATTAAATAGGTTTCTCCTACATGAACGGCATAATACAGAGGGATCCCAGAATGAGAATTCTCATCCAAAAATGTAAATATATTTAAATCAGGGACGTACTCAATTGCCTCTTCCTAAATTATGACTTTTCTGAAATGTTTGTATATTTTAACTAGAAAAGATATATTTTTTGAGTAGTTTCCCCCAAAATGGTTTCGAAATGCCTTCTTGGAAATGGTGCTGCTTCAAATCAATTAGTATAATTGGTATGGGGGCGCGACGACCAAATTTATACTTATAAACTTGAGGGCCGTTCTCAAACAAAATATTTTCAAGATTTTAGAAATGTTGAATGAAATTAATTGAATATCGTACAAATAAATATCTGACATTCTATCAAGTACAACTGAAATGGACGGTTATGACGCAATGTTAAAATTTGATAACAAACAAAAAATATATTCAGAAAATATTATTTTGATTGGTTGAATAAGGCCTTATATTAAACCATAGTTCCCTAAAATCAAAGTGAAATTTATTTTCATTACATTTTTTTAATTATATCGTTTTTTGTTCATCGTCTATTTTGTTATACCTGCCACGAAATGTGGAAGCTAAATCGAAATCTCTGAAATAGATATCCAACGGATAATGTGTAATTGTCAACTTATTTTGAAAGCCAGCTGAAACAGCGAGTTGAGAGAGTAGTTATGACAGCTGTCAAACACATCCCAAACGTAGAGATATTTTATATCTACACCTTTCTCAGATGTAATTCGAATCATATTAATTTACATTACAAATGGAAAAATTCGAAATACAAATGGAAAATTTCGAAATACAAATGAAAAATTTCGAATTGCGATTGGAATAATCAAATTACAACTGAAATAATTTGAATTACAAAAGGTGTAGTTACGTTACCTTTTGAGGCGTAAACATTTCAATTAGAAAAAATATTTGTTCCTCAAAATGTATTCGTCACATTTTAAACCTTTTTGAGAAAGCCGATAAACCCTTTTAACCGTTGTTTGAACTTGGATAATTTTTCACATTAGCCAGAAAATAGCTGCTTATAAATCTGATATAAATAAAGCTGATCAAACTGTAAAATTTGAAGTTTTCGTTTTAATTTACTGGACTTATGACTTAAATAAGGTCGGTCAATAAGCCCATCTCACACCTAAGTTTGCTGTCAAAAGACATATTGTGATTTGAAATTCAAAGAGAGTCATATCACAAAAGTACAGAAACTACTAAGTTTATTGTTAAACTGTTCTCAAAAATAGTTTTCTTGGCCGACCTTATGTAAGACTTGACTGGACTAGGTTATTGAGTTGCCAACTAATTTTTATAAACATTGACATTAAAGTTGCCAATTTTTATGAAAATATTTCAAAGCAATGACTTTCCCTGAGTAATATTTAATAAAAATGATGATAATTTTTGGGGCCTGCTCTTTGGAATATATAATTTTTTATAATAATTATTTATAATTTTCTTTTTGTTAATAAACGTTTCATTATTTTCCTCTATCACAACTAAAATGAAAATGTTTCTTTTTTTTTCAAATCAATGATGAGAATTTGCAGTATATACACATGTTGTAGGTATGTACGATATGTAATTATGACAAAAATCGTGAACAGTCAATGCTATATTTCGATACTGATCAATAAAATCAGTTAAGTTTTCTTAAAGTCGTTACAAAAATTGGTTAGTAAAATTTTGAAAATACATTAAATTTATTCAAATTACGAAACATAAAATTTTTTGTTAATTTTGTTTTACTTTTTTATAAAGTTTTTAGAAAAACAACCAAAAAACGAAAACACAATTATTGTTGATAATTCGAGTAGAGTTTGCTAACGATTTCGATTCTTTGTACTGATTTTGATTGATACGTACCGAATAATTGGTGCCCAAGTTTTTACCATTTTTACCACCACTGGCCGATTGGTCATTATTAGCCTGCAGATAATGAAGGGGAAAAGGGAGAGGGTTTAAGATGGATAACTTAGTTTGTATTTCTGTTTTTGTTGGTGTTATTTGTTTTTGTTTTACTTGTCATGAGTGGGAGAGTTAATGAACAGAACAGAAGCTAGAAATCAAAAAATCTAAAACAAAAAGAAACTACGGTCTACAAACATACTACAACTACAAGAATTATATATTATTACATTGAGGCCTTGGCGGAACTTTTAAGTTGAAAGTTCCCAACACATAAAATATATGGTTTCAAAAAACTTACCCTATAACCGGAAGATTTAAAGTGACAGCCTCTTTTGGTTAAGGTGGATTTCATGCGTACACAAAATGAACGTTCGAAACCTTTATAGCCGCTATTTGAGTTCATTGTCATTTGACCGGAAACTAATAAAACAAGAACACATTAGTTGTATATTTCTTTTGTTTTTTGCAATAAAACTTACCATCTGGATTATTGGTACCATGTGAGCCAATACCATCATCCGAGCCTCCAGAGTGTGGTGATGACATGCCAGCCGGTCCAGATGATGATCCATTAATACCGCCGGATGTCAGACTTAGGCCAAGTTGTTCAGCAATTTCGGCATGATCACCCTGATGTATATAATCGAAAATACTGCTGCCTGTCATTTCCACCTGGGACAAGCCCAAATATATGGATACCGTTTCCGAAATATACAGGAAACGGCCATCAGCAGCAACTGCCAAGGCAAAGCCATCCAAAGACTGAAGGAAATGAAAAAAAAAAGAAAAATATTTGTTAATTCAAAGACAAAAACTACTTGGAAATTTGCATTTCATGAGAGAGGGAATTTAAATAGAACCAAGCGCTTACCTGTAGTATGTGGGTACCCTGATGTTGTTCAAACAAATCAACGGCGGGGCTACGTCTTATGGCTGCACCTACAACATTGAGAGGAAGAAAAATGGAAGAAACAAAATTAAAGACTTGTAAAAATAATTGAAAAAAAAAAAAAAAAAACAATAATCATGGTTTGGGGTTAGCGGTTATGTAGAACATTACGAAACACCGTTTTTGTACCAAGTGACAGATATACATGGAAAAAGTTTGGTAGGGTATCATAAAGTCGGCCCTCCCAACTTTAAGACTTTCTATACTGGTTTAAATTCTGATGGTGCCGGTGGTGTTATTTACTGGCTATACCAAAACATGCGCCTAGCATTGCTATGGATTTGACAGTGGCCGATTCCCACATAATTTATTACCAAACCCCTCTTAGCTACCCAGGATTACAAAACATAAATCTTAGAACAATATTTTTTCTATAATTCAATTAAAGGCTTTTTTATGATTTTGGCTTTAGGCCACAAAAAATTATAAAAAATTGAGTTGAAAAAAGCCATAAAATTTATGTGCATTTTCCCATCCCGGTCATACCAAAAAAAAAAAAAAAGGAACTAACGCCAAGGGAAAGCATACATTTTCTTATGATTATTACGATTATTGTTATTATTGCAAACGCCCAGCAGCTTAACGCCATCAAAACAACTTTGGACAGACAGAGGTTAAGTGTGTGACGCCCTGGAAACAAACTCCCACAAATATATTCCTTGAGCTCAAGCCAAAAAAGAAGAAAAAAAAAACAATGAAATTCTAGCCAGCCAAGGTGTTGACCACTGGCTGCCGAACATTGTCCTGGCAATCCCTGGAGTAACACATATGCTTCATTTGCACTTTTTTCTATTTATTTGTTTTTGCTCTCTCCCCCACACGATTTTGGCCAAGCAATTTACTTAGTTCTATACAAATACACTTGTTTGCTAGTGTGTGCATGAGTGCGAGGGTGTGTGTGTGCTGGCGTATTTTTTATGACAATTCAATAAAAATAATCATCATTTCATTGTAAGGTTGTTTTTATGCCGGAGGATAGTAAGGTATAATTGCCATGTGAGGGATGAATTGTGGAAGTTTTGTTTACCCATACATGCTCATTGATTTAAGCGCAAATAAGTGAGGGTTCAGCTGCTTATGAATTATTTATGGGAATTATTGAAAGACTTTTTGGGAGGATTTTAAAAAAAAAATGACGTTTAACAGGGGTTTTCATGTTTGGTGTTAAAAATAATGTTCTGGGAAAAAAATTATTAAATTACATTAAAATATATAACATAAGCCCTTGATTTGGGAAGTTTACAAGGCTCGGTTTTAGAGGATAGTGTAAAATGGCCAATGTGGCAATACCTGTAGATGCTGAATATTTGGTTTCAAATAGTTTGCTACCGACATAGCCTTGAAAAATGTAACAAATACCTTCAAAATATTAATACTTCAGGTATCCTGTTTAATATATGGCATTCTAAAATAAGGATATACATTGAAAAGTTATTGAGAGGTTGGCTTCTAGATGTTAAGTAGAAAACACATCGATTACACCTGAATATATGGATGTGGTTTCGGAAATGTGTACTAAAATTGTACGAAAAGTTCTGAATGGTACTATATTTGGTATTGGGTGAAGGGAAAGAGATAATATTCTGATATTTGATAATTAGATTACTGATGTTATCGGTGTATTAAGATTTGGCATTGGTTTGGAAATGCGTACTATTTTTTGGTGCGGAAAAGTACTAAATGGTACTAAATTTAGAATTGAGTAAAGGGATAGAACTGAAGCCATGAAATTTTTGATTGCAATAACTGTTGGTGTCTAGAAATGAGATAAGGCACGGTTTTGCAAATGAGTACTAAAATTACACGAAAAGTACTAAATGCAACTTAATTTGGAATTGAGTGAGCTTGAATCCCGAAATTCGATATTGTGGTCACTGTTTGTATCTGGAATTGAGATCTGTTGGTGGTTTGGCAAATGCGTACTATATTTTTTCGAAAAGTACTAAATGGTACTAATTTTGGATCACAGTTCGAAAAGTACTAAATGGTACTAAATTCGGATCACTGTTTGTGTCTAAGATAAAGAGAAGTCTATTATTTGGGATATGCGTACTAAATGCTACTAAATTTCATATTGGGTGGAAGGATAGATCTGAAATCCCCTCCAAAGAATGAAATCCTCCCAATATTGTTACTGTCTAAGGGCTGGGTCCTCTATCTAAATTTGCTTTACTTTCAAGATTTTAAATCCAAATTTGTGTTAAATATTTTATAATTACTGCAAATAAATTTGTAATTCTCCAAATCGTGACATTTGTCATGTCCAATTTGTTGTGACTTTTGATTATGTCATTATTTTATGGCGGGGTGGGGGTTTGGAATTTTGAAATAATGCCACAACATTTATTCCCCACACCAAAAAACAACAGCAACACAACCTTTCGGAACCACAATAAAATTGAAGGTTAATTAATACTAATTTTTATTGATGTTTTGGTTTAAAATAGTCACGAAATAATCGTAAACGAGTCGAGCAAATAGTCAAAATACGTTTTCCATTTTATTTACAGAAATTACTTAAAAATGTTTACTTTTAAAGAGAATTATATTATTTTTTAAAAAAGTCTCACAAAAACATAATCGGTCTTAAGAAGGAGTGGAATAAAGCAGGTTTCAGATTTTGATAATTTGGAAAAAATGCTAAAAAATCCATAAGACTTATGCAAATTTCTAACTAAATTGGCTGCAATTCATAAAAAAACATTTGAAAATCCACATGTTATAGAAATTATGACTCATTTCCTTTTTTATAAAGAATATTTAAAATTTATCGTTCATTCTAGATGTACACATATTGCTATAAAAAAACCTTAAAATCTGCCTGGCAAATATCCATAAACATATTCCTTCCTTTAATAAATGTTGGCGCAGAAAAAAAAAAAAAAAAAACAATTTCAAAATCAATTTTTTTGTATTAAGCAAATGACTCAATTAAAATCAAGGTAATAAAATCCATTTTTGTTTTTGGAATAGTCTCAGTGTCTTTATGGTCAGCGTTTTAAATAAAACCAAAGAGCTATGAAAAATAATTCAATTACTTTTAATGTGTATCCACAACAATTGAATGGGGAATTTTACAAATGACAAAAAAAAAAAAATAATTTAACCTTCCGTTACCTTTAAATACAAATGAAAACAAAAAAACTGAAAATTTTCAATTACCAAGCACACACATAAACAAACAAACAACACAAAAACGATAAAGACATCAACAAATAAATACAGTGGCGATAAAAATGTGCCACAAAACAAAATGGTTGGTTGTTGTGCGCGCATGAGCACTACCATTGTCGTCATCATCCACAACCGCTGAGCTGTGTGAGTGAGCTCAGAAACAAACAAACAAATTTGTATATTTTACACACTTTTTTATGCAAATTAATCGAATCGAATATATATAGCGTTTTATTATTGTTGTCGTTTGTATGGTTTTTTCATTATTTAAAAAAAAAAAAAACAAAAAAAGCTACCTTTGAATAAACGGTCAAATGAATTGTGGTTAAATTACTTGGTTGGATTGACGTTAAGGCATGGATGGATGACACCAGCCAGTAGTTACCAGCAACAAAGCACACAACAGTACAGTTGCTATATACCAACGCAAAATTTATGACTTCATATATAAAATGTTTATATGAATATTGCATTGGTAGCTACTGAATTCAATGAAAATGAAGTAAAAAATTCCAACATTTGGGGCATTGTCGAATTTTATATACAGTTCATCGAGATTCATTGGCTAACTTATTAAAAGAATTTTAAGATAAAGAAAGGAAGATAATTGGTTTGATTGGTTGTCTTCAAGGGAAATTGCCAGAAATATATACTAAAGCAACGATAATTATTAGAAATCTTTGAAAATCCGAAACTTTCAACAAAAAGTAATTAAACGTTTATGAGAGGTTTGATACGAACCATAAACCACCATTTATATAAATTTTAGAAAATTCCAATAAAGACTACAAAATTTTGCTGAGTCATTTGAAAGTTGCATTATTTAGGGAGGTGGTGTCGAGATTCTAAAGGTGTGAAGACACAAAACGATTTTTTGGAAAATTATTTTTCCAATGCGGAACAAACCCTGTTATGTACAGACAACTCAACTTAAAAATGTTGCTAAAACTTTGTTAAATATATAGTAACATATTCCAACAAAAAAGTAAAAGGCATTTTCGAAATAAAATCCGTCGAAAAATACCACTCAAAGGAAAATCGTTATACAGACGCTATTCATGTTTTCTTTATTAATAACATATAAAAACAAAAAAAAAATATATATAAAAAAAATAAAAACAGGAATTTTCAAAAAAAATAAATAAATAAATTAATAAATAAATAAATAAATAAAAAATCCGTCGAAGAATACCACTCAAAGGAAAATCGTTATATAGAGGCTATATGGTCCGCCATATACAATTTTTTGTCACAGGCTGTAGTGCCCATTGCGAACTTTAAATACGGAATTTGAAGCAATTCCGGTAAAAACTATCTCTAATATCATAAAATTGGAAACCAAATAAAGGGAGGTGCCGTTATATGTGACCTATATGAAAACGTGGACCTACAAACCGCCACAGCTTGTAATACTCATTACGAGCTTCACTTACGAAATTTGAAACAATATCGGTGAATATTGTCCGTTATCGTTATATCGGGGCAATATGAAGACGTGGACATACACAATTTTTGTCATAGGCTGTAGTACCCATTACGAACATTAAATACGAAATTTGAAACAATTCCCGTAAAAAATGTCGCTAAAATCGTAAAAATATGCGATATCGTGGACTTATATAGACAATTCTCTTCCAGAGGAAAAAGTACTCACAAAAAACTCCTTGTGTAGAATCTCATACAATTCCATTGAAAATTCCAATTCTATATTTTCTTATTACATCCGAAAAGAGTGGGTTTGAGGTGTCCAATCAAACAATTATCTTAAAAAAGCCGAGATTCATTCATTCCTTCTAACAACTATGAATTAAAAGTAAGAATAGAATTTTGGACAGAGAAGTCCTCTTTTTGGTGTGTAAATAACCCTAATATACCCCAAATCGGAATAGCTACACTATTTGTATTGTAAAAAGCGGGTCTGTTTATGTAGGTCGAAAGAAATTTAAAAAACAAATATTGGAAATACACACATAGAATTTGTTTCGCATTAATGTTCTTTCGACATTCAAATACAGTCCCATAGTTACAAATGGTCTTAGGGAGAAATTTATTCCTTATAAGGGATTTTTTACATCTGGCGCCCAACATTTAGATAAAAATATTAAAATCAGTATTCTTCCTTATTTTTTATGTTATTGTTATTTTAACAAACCTTAGTCTCGAACCTTTAATTTATGCCGTTTAATCTATACCGTTCGTTTTTTTTTTGTTTGGCGACCTAATGTAACTTAGGAATTAGTAATACCTTCTCTTTCACCCAAAACCACATAAGTTTTTTTTATTAATAATCGAAAATGCCTAGTCCCCGCCATTGAATCATCATCATTTCCATAATAGATAACATAACAACATAGCGGCCATATTTAAATAGAAGAAAGGAAAACAAAAGGCAAAAGAAGAGGAGTCATATAAGAAAGAAAAGATACAACAACACCTGAAAAAAATATGGCGGTTTAATGAAATGCATCGTAAATAACTCAATGCACAGCACACAACACTTGCACACCAATCGATAAATAAATAACAAAAAGAGAAATTTCCCTTTGCACGCTGGCCACCAATAAAGAGCGAAAGAGAGAGAGAGGTAGCAAATGCAAAGCAATTTACATTTGAATAAATTGCTTTTTATTTTTCGTTTTGTTTTTGTCTTTACTCTGTGTCATTGAGTTGAGGGGCAATAAGTACTTGAAAATATTTTTAAAGGAAGTGAAATTTGTGTGTTTTTCTTGCTCTCAGTATTTTGGGGTTTTTTTATTATTATTATTAACTATTCGACGAAATTTAATGTTATATGTGCTTGGCATAATTAATTGATGAATTATAACAAAACGTTGAAACGTTTTCGTTTAGAAACAAGCGTGTGTATTACAAATTTATGAATTAAACAAACAAAAAAGTAAATAATTATAGAGAAACAAATTTAGAAAATCATTTAATTATGGAGGGAGTTTTTATGGACTTTGCAATTGTATTTGGTTGTCATTAAATTTTTTGCTATTTAATGTGTCTACCAAATGAAATGATCATTCATAAAATATATGCATGTGTGTTTGAATTTTGTTAGATACTTACTTTTCAATTTGCTGCTGGTGCTCTGTTCCCGGGTCCATGGTGGATCACCATGACTGGAGAAGTCTCTTAGTTTTAAATAGCTTATGGTCAGTCTTATTATCGAAGCCTTATCCAATTGACTGGTGATTGCTGCAGGTAAGGGTAACATTTTGGCCAATTCATAGAATTCGAAATTTTCTTTGCCACGTCGAGAGCGGGCTGCATCGCGGGATTTTTCTTTGCGTAATTCTAGAATTCTGTAAATAATAAAAAAAAAAACAATAATAAGTAAATGTCGCTAAACTATTGAGAGAAGGTAATTAAAATGTAGAGTCTTCAAATATGTAATTATTTTCCGTTGCTCGAAAAGGAAAGACGAAGATTACGTATAAATATGTTATTAATTGAGACTTGGCGCCCAATGTAAAAATATCACATCATACTAAATGATGCTTCTTTTGGCTTAAATTTTGAAAAATGTAATTGTGTTTGCCAATTATGAAAGCCTAAAGCTATGTTTGGCAATGTTGTTAGTTATGTTGCCTAAAATTTAGAACAAGAAATGGCCTTCTGAAAGCCTAATTGTTTCGATAGTTTGGACTTGGCGCCCAAACTTGGAATATTATATAATTCCAAAAATGCTTTTTTGGCCAATATTATTTTTACCGATCGTTGAAAAATTAAAGCTTAAGATATGGCACCCAACGTTAAATTATTGCACAGTAAAATAATTTTTGTTCGAGAAACTATTAGGGTGGCAGTAATTTAATTTTCATAGACTTTTCAAACCTATTATTTTTACTTGTATTAACATTTTGGCTAATATTTGCAATTTATATCATTACATTATGGGAATTTTGAATTTAAAATATCTTAGATTTTTTAATCGACAAAAAATTATATGGGATTTAGGATTCAAGAATATTTCCAATTGACTCCGAGTAAATAATATATGAAAGGCTGTAGGAAGCTAACACGGATTCCCATCCTGGTGTCCAAAGTAAAAGAATCAATTGACTCCGATTAAATCATATATGAAAGGCTGTAGAAAGCTAACACGGATTCCCATCCTGGTGTCCAACGTAAAAGAATCAGTGGATTAAATATAATACAACTTCTACATTAAACCAGGGCTATTTTTCACACATAGTTGTTAATACAATGATCAATGTGGATGTGGCGCCCAATATCAAAAAATATTTTTTTTTCTGAAATGTATTAAGGGACTAATTATTAGTTATTCCAACGCAAACAACAACTCAACAAAGAGCGTTTTTTTGGTTGTTCCAAAATTTATGGCGCCCAATATGGAACTATAGTTAAACATATAGAAATATTGACTTAATTTGAAAAACTTTTTTAAAAAAATGGTCTATTTTAATTGAAAGAGGAATTTCAATTGAAATATGGCGCCCAACGTAAATTTGATCAATTATGTGAATGGAATTATCAAAAATTGATAAGTTTCACTACAGTATTTCAAGGCAAATAAAGACCGATTTTTTGTTCTTAAATCTATGGCGCCCAATGTGAACATATAGAAATAGAAATACATTTTTTTTTTGATTTTTTAATGGTCCGTTTTAATTGAAAGAGTAATTCAATTGAAATTTGTCGGAATTTCAATTGAAATTTGATTAACTTTGTAAAAAAGAAATTTCATGTGAGGAAAACTACAGCCTGTATTGTCTTGTATGAAGATTTTTGGAATATGGCGCCCAACGTAAAATCTTAAAAGTTTTGTGATGGAAACACGGTGACATAAACGCGTTTAGTCAGGTATTTCAAATTAAAACAATCTTTATTGGGAAATCTTTACTAGTTATTTATTATTATTTATTTCAAATTAAAAACAATAAGCCATTATTGGGAAATCTTTACTAGTTATTTATTCCACTACTATTAAATAAGAAGCTTAAAATATGACCTCTTAAAACTTCATATATCCCTATATATGGGTTTTCAATTAAACATTGCATAAATTTTGAAAATGAAACTCGGAGCCAAGTTCTAAGCTTAGTAAGAGGCAATAGACTTTGATTTTACAATGGCGCCCAACGTAAGTTTCAAAAATGTTTGCAAGTGGAACTCGAAACTGTGAATGCTTTCTATGAAATTCAATCCACTGTTGGTATACGATTGTTCTCCAATAGGTTCCAAACTATTATTTATGCTACAGTTTGTCCCAATATTCCTTGCACATAAATTCTTGTCAACATTTACAAAAGAGTCAAAACGAAACCCATCATAGTGTTGTGAGTAGATTTTTGACGTAAACAACTTTAGTAATTGTCAATGGCATTTCATATTGGTTTCGTCTGCCGTCTTCGGTTTGAAAATACCAAAACAATTAATCTTCAGTCAAAAGATCTTTTCACAGCATCATCACAACTACCCGCGCGTGTTTTTGTGTGTGTGTGTAAACTCTCGTTGTAGCCAATCAATTGATGAAAAATTATCTGTCAATACTTTTGCTAATAGTTAAGCAAACAAACAATGTGATGCCTGTGTGTCAAATGGATGCTAAACAAATTGGTCTAGCTAATGTAAAATACAGCATTCGCAAAATTTTGCATTTTTTTTGCTGGGCAAATGTTCACCTATTTCCTTTGATTAGACAAGCGTAAAAAATTGCCGTTATAAAAGAAGATCATTTGTTGTATGTTAGAGAAATTTAATTAATTTTTGGATATTTTTTTCACATTTAAGCATTAAATTGTTGTCGATATTATCCATTGGCAGGGAAGAAATGTTTGGAGACATTTTTAATTAAATTGTAATGTAAAAAGGTTGCAGTTTTAATTTATCCGACATTTTGACTTCTTTTACCTGTTGTGTGTGTTTTTTTTTTCTTAAAAAGCGAACCCTCCGTTTCCTCTTTTAAGTTGTAATCCCCCCGCTTAGCGTTGTAATGTTTTCATGTATTTATCCACAATAATCAGATTAGTAGGGTATTACAATGTTACCCTGCAAAGCATAGCAGAGAATTCCATCAATGTAACACTAAGTGATCCATAACATCTTCATTGTACAAACACGATCGAGGTGCGAATATTTGTTTAATAGGTAAAATGGCATTCAAGCGGAAAATCATTTAAAGCCGATTAAACATTGTGGAGAGGTTCCTTTTCAAGATATTTACAAAATGTTGCAAAAGATGTGAGAGAATCAAAATCATTTTGCAATAATTGTGGTTTTTGGGAACGAAGCCATTTTTTTCGTGGGAAGGAAATAAATTACAAAAGATATGTATGAAATTGATAAAAATAACTTAATATAAAAAATGTATAAAATATTTGGGAAATCTGAAGTCTTACTCAATTCAAAATTGCTTAACATGGATCGAAGTAACTTAATATTTTAAACAACAGGAATATTAAGGATATCTTAAGCTTTACTCCTGTCAAATTCATAGCTGACAAAGACAATCAAAGGCATCTTGGGTAAATATATAATTTTTTTATCATTACACAACTTCTAATTGAAACAAAATTGTATAAAAGATGTGAGAGAACCAAAATAATTTTGTTTTAATTGGGGAAAGGAAATACATGTTTTGTGTAAAAATAATTTATTATTTAAAATATTTGGCATATCTTGAGCCTTACTCATTTCAAAACACAATGGAAATAATTGGGTGGGTACTTTAGGCAAAGATTAGGCCAAATAACAATAAATTGGGCGACATTGGGTGCCATTTTTTCAAAAATTATTTTTTAACAATGTATCTTCTGAGTTCCTGCCATATTCAAAGTTGGATTGCCGTTGGGCGCCAAATGGATACTTCAAAGACAACGATATAATTTTTTCTAATTTCAAAATCCAAATGGCAATAATTGATTGATATTGGGGGTCATTTTTTCAAAACTTATTTTTTAACATTGCATCTTCTGAGTTCTGGCCATATTCAAACTTGGCTTGCCGTTGCGCGCCAAATGGGTACTACAAAGACATCTTAGACAAAGATATATTTTTTCTCCTTTCCAAAACCCTATGGCAATTATTTGGTGACATTGAGCGCCTACTTTTTTCAAAAATTATTTTTTTAACATTGCATCTGGTTTTCCATTGGGCGCCGAATGGGTACTTCAAAGACATTATAGGCAAATATATAATTATTTCTTATTTTAAAACTCAAGTGGCAATAATTGGGTAATATTCAAAAATTATTTTTAACATTGCATATTCCGAGTTCTTGCCATATTCAAACCCTGGCTTGTGGTTAGGCGCCAAATGGGTACTTAAAAGACATCTTAGGCAAAGATATAATTTTTTCTTACTACACAACGTCTAATTGAACGAAGATACGATGGAATCGAAATCATTAAATACATTTTCTTTTGAAATTTCTTTGGAACGCCCAACATAGATTAAAAGAAAATTTTATATATATTTTTAATTTGGATTTTGCAATGTCAGCTCAAGGGAGTCCAAATTTCATATCTAAGAAATTCCAGCCCAAGTATTCAGCAATTCAAAATTGTAAGTTCTGATCTGTGTTTTATAGTGCCATACATTCATTTTTGGTAGATTTGATTAACATTTTCTTGTTTAAGTTTTCCGTTTCCTTTCAATATAAAATGTTGCTTTAATATTATCTTTAAAACCAAATTTAAATGGACCTTTTTTACTTTCATAAACTCCATTTAAACTCCAACAACTTTTCTGTGACACTGTTCATTTAACCCCAATCTTAAATAGTCCATAGTTCAAGAAGATTTAATTTCTAATTGCAACAATTAAATGTTGCTATCAAATAATTTCAATCGAAAAATTTGTCTTCAATTAGGACATGACAAGAGATACATAATTACAAGCAACTCTTACCAGTTCTTTGGCTTACATTGGCCAAAATTTCAACCTACACAAAACAACAACAAGTACAACAAAAAACAGAGATCATTTAGTTTTATGATTTTTAAACAAGTTAACACAAAACCGCAAAACCCCCACGAAAATAGACCATAACTCGAAAGCCATCAGCAACAACAACAATAAACCATGAGCTTAAAGCATTTTACAAAACATATAAACGGCTACTTGATTACGAGCTGGCGGCTTGTTTTTTTTTTTGTTGCTTGTCTACGGCTATACTTTGGCTTGTTATATTTTGTTTTGATCTAAATACAGAAGTTTTTTTTTGTTTCATTTGTTTCATGTGATGTTTGCGCGGCAGCTTTTCATGATTTTATTGTTATTATTGTTGTTATGGCTTGATTTAAAGTGAATTTTGTCTTGTGTCTCAAAAGACCGAGAT